TGATATTATTTTTAACATAGGCAAAAAGGTACAGAATAACAATGCCTTGGTACCTTTGTGCCGTTTGACCTGCCCTACACGAGTAAATTACTCTTTCAGTCAGTTCACAGAACGAGGTCATTGTTGTTGTTCAAAGATCACATTTGTCTACAGCATAGCAAAGAGCTCTTAAAAAGCACTTGTTACACACGCTAGAGACACTCAACTTTGATCTGAACAATCAGAGTTACTTTAGGTCAAAATTGTTAACCATAGGCATTTAAATGAACTTTATGAAATTACATGCACTTATTTTTATAATAAGGTTGTCAACAATGTGAACATTTTACTGTGCTGTCTGTTAACATTAATTTTATTCTGAGTAATGAGCATTTTTTATGTTTTGATTTTCAGTTAATTATAATAGCACACTCTAAAAAATACTGGGTTGTTTCAACCCAACTTTGGGTCAAATATGGACTAACCCAACTGTTGGGTTAAATTTTTACATTCAATTTTAACCCAAAAGTTGGGTTAGTCCATATTTGACCCAACGTTGGGTTGAAACAACCCAGCATTTTTTAGAGTGCATCAGGCACTTTTTTCCAACGCCTGCACAGTTAAAGACTGTTGCAATGGACGCATCTTACACCTTTTGATAACACAGTTAGATTGCAGTTTGCAGTTTGCAAATTGTAAAATATTAAATTAAGCCATTTTTTAACTCCTGTAAACTTTTTGTTTGGAAGCGAGGTTGTGATATGAGAAACATCCTCTGAGATGTAGCAGCCTGATATCAGAATTATCTCGATTTTTGCATAAAACACATTATCCTGATTATTTGGCACTGGTTACAAAGAAACATAAAAAAACAGAACCTCCTACCATTACAAATATTAAATAATGTTACAAACGGAAATAATGATATTACAATAATACTCTTTCAAGAGTATTTTCCATAGTGCATGCAGAATAAACCACCCAAATTCTGATAAATGCCAAACCCACTGAATAGTTCACATACCTCCCCATAACGATGGCAGATCTCGTCACTGATTCTTTGTAGAATTAGCAGGGATTGATCATGAACCCACAACCTTTGACACGATCACACCAGTGAGAAGTAAAGAGACACAATGGATCATTTTCCCTCAAAACCATTCACCACCAAGTACAGGCAGTGACACTCAGGAGCAACACCACAGGCCAATAGAGCCATTGTTCTCCCTTCTGTTTGTATGTTTCTTTTATTGTGGTTTCCGGCGTGATTCAGTCAGAGAGCTCTCATCTCGGTTACATTCGTTTACTCTTTCAATTAATGTTTTTCCATTGAAGTCCTAAATGGGAGACTGATTTTAACACTGATTATGTGAATTGTAAAGTTATGTCTTACTAATTGTAATCTTTTTTGCTTGTTTACTATGATAAGAAATATCATATAGTCATGTCATAATTCAAGGAAATAGCAATATTCTTGAATAGAAATTACTGAGCAACATAAGGAAAATAAGTCTTGGTAATATCAAACTTGCATGTGCAATAACTGATTGTCATGGCAAGTAATGTAGAAACATGAACCAGATGTGAGAGCAGAGAAGAATAACTTATTGATAATAAAGGTGATTTTCCTCACACCTTTGATTTGTGTTCAGAAAACTTGGAATAACAAGTATATGGACTACTTATTTATAATTTAGGTATTTATTTACTTTTCATTTGTAGAGCTTGACTCTGTATGCTCATGGTATGTATTAACTGTATGGAAAAGATCAGCTTTGAAATTCTGCAAATTATGCGTTTGTGTTTCATGAAAGAACAGCACAGGAACAGGTTTGGAATTACAAGGAGGAAGTAAATGAAAGGAGAATTCCCAGGTTTATTTCCACTTTTAAAAAATCTAAACAAGTCTAAACGGGTTTAATTTTTTTCTAGATGGTAAAATATAAAACTCTTGCCCAGGCAATGGAGATATAAAGTAAAAGACATCTATGCTAAATATAACAGTCTCTCAGTGGCATTAGAAAGTCTCACATCACAGCTGATCATTGCTGCTCACCAGCATAAGGTGTGTTTTGCACACTGGAGCCAACTTGGGATGCTGGTTTAGCTTGTCCCTAAAATGGGATTCCGGTATACCAGCAGTTTCAGGACAGCAGCGCTAGGCCAGCGGTCAGACTGTAATGGCGCTTTTCCACTGCATGGTACGACTCGGCTCGGTACGGCTCAGTATGGCACGGCACGGTTCGGCTCGGCACGGTTTGCGTTTCCACTGCAGTTCAGTACCGTGTTAGAGTGGGCGGGATTATTCACATGTCATTATAGTTGTGCCGCCTCTACTACCACGACTCCTGAAATAAACTTTTTCATTCCGCGTCGCCCCATCAAGCTCTCGCTGGATCCGCTCCTCTGCTATCAACGAGAGGAACGTCTGTTCTTCCGCAACAGACATCAAAACTTTTTGGTTGTTAAAAAAAGGTGCGCTCGTTCAAAACGGTTGCGTTCGATCCTTCGATGGCTGTGCTGATTTAAATCTAGCGGTTCTGTTGTGTTTGTGTCGCAAGTTCAGTGACACAGGTAGTGAAGATTCTCTCCTGCCAATCCGTGATCAGCAGAGTTTACACGTCACGTTTTGGTAACGGTACGGTTCACTTGGAACCCCAACCGAGGTGGTACTAAAAAAAGTACCAGGTACCAGGTACTGTACCCAGTGGAAAACCCCCCAAAAGTGAACCATACCGAGCCGTACCATGCCGTAAGCGCCATAAGTTAGGGCAGAACTGACGATTGGCCAATGGCCATACGACTCTGACTCTTGCTCAAATTTTCATAATCGGTCTGAGTCTAACAAGAAATCCATGCTGGTTAATGCTGGATTTATTTATTTATATAAACAGTTTTTGATTACCAGGGAACTTCCTGCCTACATAAACTGACCCAACACTCATTCCTTCCTGTTTAACTGAAGCTTAATGTCTCCTAAATAAAACAAGATCTTAGAATATCTTCCACTCCCATAAAAGGCAGAAAGAACGAACACGCTGTCAGGAAATATACACTTGCAAGTAGGTAAAGTGAATCCAGCACAGCTTTATTTTAAACGCAGGGCAAACACAGAGTCAACAGGTAAGTAGTAGTGCACAGTCTTGGGTGCTCTGTGGAGAGCGCACACCACAGCCGTAGGAACAACAGGTAAATACAACAGGTAAATATCCTCAGGAACAATCAAGGAACACTAGGACTCAACATCAGGAAACAAGAGTATGGGTAATATAATCCTAAAGCCAGACAATCCCTGCGTTCCGTTCGGAAGGGCTCATCCCTGTGCCCTAATCCTTTCAAAGGGTTTACCCTGCGGAGTGAGAGCTTCGAAAGGTTGAAGGGTGTAGGGGACAAAACAACTGTTTCTTGAAGTGCCCTTCTGCGTCATCCTCTCGTGCCCACATGGAGGCGCCGTCATCATGCAAAGAATCTGCGCAAAGGATCATGGGAGCCCGAAGTGTCCATCAGTTGTACCCTTCGAAATCCTTCATTCCGAAGGGCCCTTTGAAGTGGCCAGTTTTGAGCACTTCGGTTTGGAACGACCCTTCAATATGGCGGCCATGATTGTTTTCACAACGAAGTGCCCTTCGGAGGGCGATATCTCGTTTGGAGTGCACCGAATGAGGAGTGAGCTTAAATAGGGAGCTAATGAGTTGATTAATATTAAACAGGTGCAGGTGACGGAGTGTGCATAGGAGGGAACCAAACGGGATTCTGGAAAATGTAGTGCTGGAGACTGGGCTGATAAATGAGGATTGTGACAAACACTAATGTTAAACTGTCTTCCTTATAAAACTGATGCTCAATATACTGCACTTGCAAATGAGTTTTTTGAAAGGCAGATTTGTCAATTTAATAATCTTTACAAAATTTGTAACAAAAGACAGAAAGCAAAGAAAATATTACACGTTAGAAGGCTAGTTCTCACACTTTTTGCTCCATAGATTTCTCGGGTAGGTAAAATAAAGTCAGGTTCTGTATAGACACATACCTTAAAATCTTGGCTGCAAATCTTTTGTCCCTTTATCACTGTTATTTGCCTGGGAATTAATCAATATTTTTTAGTTTGGAGGGCAATTTACAGAAATATTCTAATTTAAATAGGATTGGATATCAAACAGTGTTTAATAGTTCACCCAAATATGAAAATTCTGTCATCATTTACTCACCCTCATATCATTGCAAACATTTTCTGGCATATAATTTAACTGGTTTAATTAATTAAACTTTAAATATTATGCAATAAAACACATTGGGGTATAAACAATTTCCACTAACTCCACTAACTTTCATCGGGTTCCGCAAAAGAAAGCTATACATGTTTAGTACAACATGAGATTGAGTAAATGATGTTAGAATTTTCATTTCGGAGTGAACTATCCATAAAACGTTTACTCTAAAAAGCATAGCAAACTTTACCTCCCTTGCATACCAGGGTGATTAATGACCTTTAGAAGCAACAGTTAGATGCATATTCATCTAACTGGGTGGGTTGGCCTACATATGTTTTTTAAGCAGACCATTTTGAAATATTAGAACCCAATAAAATCACTGCTGGAGAAATACAGTAAATCTATAACTTTAAAATCTTAAAATCAGCTAAGATGTAGCTCTGACATTGGGTCCATGTGACAACTAGTCCCAATCTGTCCTATATTTCATTTAACAATAATATATGAAAACTTATATCTCTGATATATTGTGGAGTAAATGAAGTGGACAGAACCAATGTTTTATTTTACCACTATATTCGACTCTTTTCCGGGCTTCCAGACTGAACTTTTATGTCAGAGCTATATGTTATAGAGTTCTTTGGTGCAAAGGTCAAGACAATAAAGTTGGCCCTACAATATAGGAGTCTTTTTCCAGTTCAGAGTCACAATAAGGAACAACAAAAAGACAAGAAGCTTAATATATTTATTTTATATATAATATATATATATATATATATATATATATATATATATATATATATACCTCATTTCTCTTGTTTTTCTCTTAAATAGCACATACGCAATCAGCACAGTGTGTTTATATATTTTTTTTTTATAAAATATCTATTTATTATGCACAAAATTACTGTTTTTTTTATAAGTATCTTGTTCTTATGTATGCTGTATGACTTCTGTTCTTTGCATAGATACAGTCTTTGGTTATGCAACACAGAGTAAATGCAAGCTCACTGAAATTTTGAGACATTCAGATTGTGAGATAAACAACATAATGCACATGAAATGTGAGCAAGTCCGTTTTAAAGCCAGCTTTCATTAAGGAATATTGCCTAATAATAAGTACTGTTGAAGCTTTAGTGAATGTGATCATATAATAATATTAACATGAAACGTTTTAAAATCTAAGTCTGTATCTAAACTGGACGTCTTTAGTTGGCTGCATGGAGCCAAAGCCCCATCGTCTGATATCAATACCTGGAATCTCTTCATTGGGATTTTTCAACTCAAAGTCAAAGTAGGACAACATGAGAAAGACAAACTGCTTCAGCTCATTTGTGGCGAAGAATCTTCCCGGACACATAGTGGTTCCTGCTCCCCAAGGCATGTTGTAGTACTTGAGTTTCTTTCCACCCTTGTAGAAATCGGTCTTTTTGCTTCCATCTGGCGTGAGAAAACGGTCGTACTTGAAGGTGTAGGGATCTGGGTAAACTTCTGGGTCCACCTGAACGGCTATGTAGGGGAAAACCGCCACTCTGTCGCCCTTACGGATCTTGTACTCTTGTCCGCTGGCCATGTTGATGGTCATATCCTGCAAAACAGCTCTCGTAAGGACCGGGGCAGCTGTCAGACGGAGGGTCTCCTCGACTGCGCTGTCTAGGATGGGAGTTTTAAGGAGAATATCCCTAGTCAGGTCAATCAGCGGCCCGCCTCGTTTTACCTCCTGCCCCGTTTCTCTGAGAATCTCCTCGACTTCTTTCGTAATGGCGTTCATTGCATCAGGGTGCTTCATCAGATACAAGAGCAGCCAGAACGCCGCAGGACCCGTGTTTCCCTGAGAGGCCCACAGAAGCAGAAACATGAATCGATCCTGCATGAACTCCTGCATGCCCTGTTCGTCTCTCACCTGTTGCTGGTCACTGACCCAGCCACTGATGTTGTCTCTGGATCTCATCTTCTCTACTGAAAGCGTGCTCCAGAAAAGCCTTTTCAAACGCTCGGCCTCCATCTTCTCACTAGGTCCCAGGACACCATAAGCCAGATTCGGGAATAACTGGTCATATTTTCTGAATTCCTTGAAAAGTTCGTCCGAATGCTGCCGGTCAATTTCCTTAGCTTTCTGCAAAGTTCCTGTACATTTGACCGACTCGTTACCAAACAGAGCCAGATAGCCAGCGCGAAACACAATATTGTAGCTGTACGCAAAGAGTCCGGTTTCTTGCCATTGCTTGTCATCTCCAGATCCAACACTGTGGAGCATCAGATTCTGAAGATTGGACATCATGGCCTGGGTCATGACAACCAGACCGTCTCCCATGAGATGTTTGGTACTTGATGCCTGGAGAACCTTGTGTTCGCTTTCCATGGAATGATAGCCGAATACTCTTGCAACCAGTTGTTCTGCAAATTTACTGAAGTCCAGCTTTGTTCTGGCCTCTTTGACCACAGAACCAAAAGAGAGTGGATCTGTGATAAAATGGAAATAAAAGCCTCCCAGCTGCACTGTGAAAATATCTCCATGTTTTTCCTTCATCCTCTGCAGGAATTTGGCCGTGTCCTTCCTGAATTCCAGCACATGGCCAAACCAGGGAATAGGGCCCCTGTCTAGAGGGGGTTCTCCAGCTCGTCTGCGGCGAAATGACCCCAGAAGGTAGAGGGCACCTATGACAGAGATGAATAGAGCAAGCAGGATTTGGAGGAGGTTGCCCATGTTCCTCTTTCGGCGTTCTCTTGGCTGCACTCTGCTCTGTTTTTATTTCCTCTTTCTTGGCAGCTGTGTTTATGTCCCGCCCCTGCAGGGCAGGCCTGATATGACTTCATGCAGTACAGGAAATGACTGTCAGGGACTCTCAAGATTCTTTACAGCATTGTTTTTGTCTGTACTTACCATTTTTGTAATTATGTCCTTATATACTGTGCTCTATTTTACAACATCAGTTACTATTCAGATAGGTTATATAATCAGTTTTTAATAAACATTTTGCTTACGTCATTTATGAACAATATGAAACGTAATATTAGATTGCCATAATGTTTAAGATCAGGGGTTCTCTAAATGAGGGGAAAAAAGGAATCATGGTAGCAAATTGATCATTTATAAATGTAATCAATTAATTTTTTTAACTAAAACTATATTTATTAACAAATGGTCTGTGAAAAGGAGAAATAGGGGTAACACTAGTTTAGGGGCCATTTCTCACAATTAACTAGTTGCTAATTATCATGCATATTACTAGCATTATTAGTACTTATAAAGCACATATTAATGTCTTATGACCATATTTTAGGTCCCTTAATCCACCCCATACCTAAACTTAACAACTACCTTACTAACTATTAATAAGCATCAAATTAAAAGTTTATTGGGGCTAAATTCATAGTTAATAGTGAGAATTGCTCCCCAAACTAAAGTGTGGCCAAAACAGGATTTAAATCACAAATTGTAATTACAAAAAATTTATAAATTTATGAACTAATTTAATAGTTTAATACTAATTATTTACATACTATGGAAAGGAAACTAAGAATAGCTTATGCTGAATTCACAATAGTTTGCATGTCTAGCTCCTATTCATCACAGTCTGCAGATAATGTAGTGATGTAGAAGGGAAAGGATCAAGGCTGTTCTTATCACTGTGATAAGAGTGATCTTACTGCAATAGTTAGACATGACCTTGATGGTGCAATAAAGGTTACTTTGATTCATTGCCTTCCAATAGCTGCATTTACTTTACATACAGCAGAGCAATAACAAATAAGTTGAATTAATCAGTACAGTTTAGTCAAATTTAAATGGTTAAATTTCCCTAAATATTGAGTTTAATTATATTTTGGCAAATATTGAAGGTAATATATTAGCTAAAAGTCAGTGATGTGAGCTATTCAGAATGAGCTCTCCCATGATTTAAATTTTTTTTTTAATTTGCATACTATTCACATTAGAAAGGTCTTTATCCAAAGCGACTTTAAATTGAGGAACACCACAAGCAATTTATTAAGAGCCAACCTTATTCTCAGTATTACAGTGCCAGTTTTAAGACTTAAAAACCTCTGTAAAATGACAAAAAAAAAATGCAAATACTGGTCAGCAAACACTACCCCAGACTCCTGGTTGTCCTGCATGGTTTGGTTTAATGTTGTAGAACACAGTTGTATAGTGATGCTGTGGTCAGCTGATGGGTTGGCTGGGATTACAAGGAATTGTGTCTTCACAAGGATGAAGTGAAAATAGTGTTCCTTCGTCCAGGCCAACAGGGACAGGCAAAACAAAAAAGCTGAAATGGTGTAGTTTTCAAGTTGGAACAACAGGTAACGCTATCTATCATCTGTACAGTATATAGAGAAGTTGTGTGTTTTTATGACTGAGCCCAGTTAGGTGGTGTATGTGTATTTTAAAACACTAAAACAGGTCATAACTTAATGCCTTATTTAGTAAGACCTCCCTTGCACGATAGCTCATGATGGGTGGAGGACCTTAGAGTGTATGTCATGTTTTCCAGCCCAACTTCATCCTGCTTGTTTTTCTAATAAAATGTAAAACAAGTAAACAATATAATGTTGTCGGAATAAACCACTCTAAGTTCCTAGAAACAGCGTAACTCTAGTTTGGTATCTGAATATAAACACACATTACTTTGGAAATACTTAAAGGCATAGTTCACCCAAAAATGAAAATGCTGTCATTGATTACTCCATGTTCCAAACCCGTGAGTCTTTCATTCATCTTCAGAACACAAATGAAGATATTTGTAATGAAATCTGAGAGGTTCCTGTCCCCAGTGATGGGAGTAACGCATTACAACAGTAATACAAGTTACATAATCAGACTACCTTTTTCAACTAGAAAAGTAAAGCATTTTAAATTTACAAGAAAATATGAGTTACTTTTTCAAATAAGTAACGCAAGTTACTTTGTTTTCCCATTTATTCACTGACACCTCTACTGTCCCCCTGTTGAGAGAAATTAGGAGTAAGATGCAGCGGCAGAGGCTCTACCCTCACCCTTAGGCTTATTAATTTCACTTTTGGTGTGAAAGGGCCCTTACACTTGCCAAAAAATAGAACTTTTATAACGTTTCATATAAAGTTTTTTTGTTATAAAAAAACATATAAGCAAGCCACAAAAGTAATGCAAAAGTAAAGCAATGCACTACTTTCCATAAAAAGTAACAACATTTGTTAATTTCTTATTTAGTAACTCAATATTGTAATGCATTACTTTTAAAAGTAACTTTCCCCAACACTGCCTGTCCCCCATTGACAGTCTAAATAACTACCACTTTCAAGGCCCAGAAAGTTAGTAAAGACATCATTGAAGTAGTCCATGCAGCTCCAGTGGTTCAACCTTAATTTTATGAGGCGACGGGAATTCTTTTTGTGTGCAGAAAAACAAAAATAACGACTTTATTCAACAATTTCTTCACTTCTGCATCAATCTCTGATGCGTTTTCGAGAGCACCATGACGCATGTGTGTTGTGTTGATGCGAGTGTGTTTTCATGATACAGTCCATCTCGGAAGTGCTGCACTGTTTACAAGCAGAGGAAGAGGAATTGTGTATGCAAGTTTTGTTGATTAAATTCTGCGTCTTGATTTATTTTTTTTAAACTTCCCCAATCAAGTTTAGCTCATTTTCAAGTTGGTCACGTGAATTCAGAGCATTGAGCAACAAAAACCTGCTTGGTTTGAAAGTCACTTCTGTGTGAACTGGACAAGAAACAGTGGACCTTTTTTGGCTCGCAAAATTTCACTGCAGTTTCGCTAATGTGACTGTACTTTAAGAGTGTTTTGGGCTATTGTTTACACTCCTCCTCTGTCTATCAGTTGGTCCGTCTGTATGACGCTCTGTCAGTAGAGTCAATAGTCATCTGTTTGTCCTGAGCTTATGCCATCTCTCTGCCTAGTTCACTGGAGAAACACTACTACCACTGCCTAAAGGCTCTAAACTGTGCCTGTCATTGACTACGAGTGAGATTGCCCTTGAATTTCAGTTATGACCAATGCCTGCTCTTGATCTCGTCTCATGTACTGACGCTGTGTGTGGACTGATTGCACAGCTTTGACCTCTACCTGCCTGACCACTATTCTGTCCTCCAATGAACCATCAGAGAAACGGCTTTATTTATCTTCTAATAAAGATTTACCAATAGCTAGCACCAGCGCAAATACTCTTTTGCCATTAAAAAACTACTGTCAGGATTTACTAAAGACACGCAGTGAAACATTAGCAATGCAATGCAGCTGACCTTATTGCATTTACATTTGTAGGAGTTTCTCTTACAGACGCAAAATTTATGGGAGGAGAGTATTTAAATAAATCATGCAATGTGATGTTGTGCAGTTACAGACTGCAAACTAAGGCAGTATACACTGGAACTTGGGTTATAGGGCTCACACACAGACAAAACAATTCTAGGAATTTAAACCCTTTTCTTAGAACTGGAAGAATCTGTTAAGGAGTCTGACACTAAGTCTGGTGAGTCCATCCAGTATAAAGTGTAAAAATGAACGAATTTATGGAAGTGAGAGGGTTCATCGATTATATGTGTGAGAGGGGAGTGTTGCAACACATCTTGTCTAAACCTTTGTCACTTTTGAAACTAAAACATTTATTAAACAATTACAATTATACAAATTTTACCTCCTCAAAAATTCACCATTCACTGTACATCTATGCTAGAAATACTCTTTCAGACTTAGACATTCAGCTGTTGATGAAGGCCCTAACTTTAAGTCCTGATACAACACAGCTGATAAAAACGGGTAACACATATTCATAGGTGGACTGCTGTCATAAACTATTACCTCGCTCTGTTTGAGCAAGAGAGCGATCATTTAAATAGGCCTTGAACTTTGCATTATTGGTGCAGGTTTTTTTAGTTTGTTTGTCTTTTGCTATGAGAGACATGACCATTAAACATGCAAAGACTGAATTTGACCTTCCATTATCATTTTTAGTGATAAGAAAAAAATGTTGAGTCAAAAAATGGTATGGCTTGGACTTTTCATTTGGAATTTAATGCCTAAATTGTAAACTATTGTTTATTAAAATAAATCCCGGAAAAGATTGGAGAAAATGGTAAAAAGGTGCATAAAATAACTGTAACATACAATAAGCAAAATATTACTCATATGAAGCAGCCTTCTTAAGGTATAAAGCAAGGGTGTCAAACTCAATTTCTGGAGGGCCGGAGCCCTGCAGAGTTTAGATTCAACCCTAATTAAACACCAACAAGTCCTTCAGGTTATTTGAAAGCTACATGGTATGTGTGTTAGAGCAGGGTCGGAAAAAAACTCTGCAGGGCTCCGGCCCTACAGGAATTGAGTTTGACATCCCTGGTATAAAGGATCATTTGTTTTGATGAAACTAAGAAAAAGGTTTCTTTGTATGGAACAGTGCAGTTTATCTAATCCTTTTTTCATCAAATTTAGACTAACTGGATCTTCTGTAACAATAATTTGTGACTCAACAATAGAAAGACCAGAAAACCTTTATATATAGAAAAATCGCTTATTTCATTTAGTTTTTCCAAAACAATCAATATCACTTAACCTGTGTTTTTATGCACTTGAAGCTTCATTATATATATATAAAAAAATAAAAAAATCCTTGTGTGTGCAAGCACACTTGGCAATAAAACTCTTTCTGATTCTGAATTTGATTCTGATATCAAAACATGTCATATCTATCCAAAATTCACTGAAGCTCTTGAAGATAAAAGAAAAAAA